TTTACTTGTCAGTCCCGAATTCTAATTCATTTCTAATATTTTCTAAAACTTCTAACACTGATGCTTTACTAAATCGAAATCGCATTTTAAACTATATCGTTCCTCAAAATAATTAATACGTTGTTTAAATCTTCTTTTTCTTCTATTAAATTGTTCAATACTAATATCCTCGTCATCGGAAGATGACAGTACGAGGTTATATGCCATGTTTGACACTAGTAATATTTCTTAACTGCGGTTCAACTGCCTCTAAACGGCCAAAATTGGTCGTTCAATTTAAATTCAATTTATACGTTTAAACTAAAGAAAAAAGTTGGTAGAAACCAATATTTTGCTAAACTTTGGTTAATCAAATGTCACTAGGGATTAACTCTTTAAACTGCGTTGGTAGAAACGGGCCTTAGTGAAGTACGTTGCAAGGACGGCAATGCTCCACGATTGATGGGCGATACCGCTTCCTACATCAGTTGCATCAGCTGTTCTTCCGATGACCCATTTGCTAGAGTTTCACTGTGTCTGGTAAGCGACTCGAGCATTTTGAACATTAGTTCTTGCTGTCTTTTCTGACCTTCTAAAATCTCCTGGTGCATCTGTTACATAGAATTAACTATTGTATCAGTGACGCTACGTCTGGTGAGACTTGCCAGGCCTGTATGGTTGTTGCTGCGGAGGGATGCTCCATGGCGGTCGAAAATCCTGGTGTTGCCTCTTTACCCAGAGTGTGTTGAACGCCCGGCGCCTTGTTCGGCGGCCCGGAAACGTTCGCAGACGCCGACTGTGTTTTTCTCTCCAGGTAGGTCATAATCGAGTCTATTAATTTTTTGGAGTCCTCGCACAGAGGTAATTTGTACCCCTGAGTTACCTCCTGGAGCTCGTCGATCGTCATGTTGTCCAGCTGTGTTCAATTCATTATTATCGAATTAAACTGTGTAGGGTCAGCAACTAGTTGTCTTCTGTTTCCTGGTTGTCCTCGTCGAAGAGAAAATACGAGGTTCTTTTCTTTATATCGCGAGCATGGACGAAACTACCGAAAAACGCGGTTGTTGCGAATGCCGTGAATACACGAGTAAATAACACAAATAACCCGGAAGGTCGTGGCGCCTAACGGCTAAGTGGATCGTGGAAATCTTTGGTCCTTAGGAGAGGTGTCCTAGGAGATGTGTCCTTTCTAGCCCACTTTTGAAGGGGTGCGTGAGGAATCCCACTTCCGAAATTTTTACTGTAAGATATGAGAAATCTCCAGTCTTTATTAAAATATTTAATACCCCTTTTAATAGGAATTTTGAAAGGATGAGACCGATTGATAACGGCAAAGAGGAGGTTTAGAATAAATGGTCCCGTTATAACATACACGATCACTGGCTTTATTCTTACTTCTATTATACACTGCGACGACTGAGTAATATTACTAATTTCGCGCAACGAGAGTTAAGTGACGAACGGAACGAGACGAAGCGTACAATTTAAAAGTACTTGAGCGATGTCTGCCGAATCGTGCTCCGGCTTTTTCTCACCTGCGCGCAACCGTGAGCACCTCGCTCGTGCGAACGAACGAAATAGCAGCTAGCGAGATGTCGCCAGCTCCCGAGAGCAGGGACGAGTAGCCGAAATTCATAAGTATTTTACAACAGCAAAGAGGTAATTCGGGAGCAAGAGAGGACACGCATTCCGCGGCTGATTGATGAGCAACGATGTATTAAAAAACATGTGGAAGGTGAAAAAATATTTCGTATTAGTACAAGGCTAAATCAAGATCAATTAGAAAGTGAAAATAATAACGAAAACAATGAGATGGATACTATGTAGAGTCCCTATAATAAGAGTCAAGACATGAGGGGCGACGCCCTCGTGATTGGTCGCCGCCATTTCTAGGCGCTTTCGATGTGTTAGTGAATCTGTGAATTGGTGTGAGCAACTGTTTTATGGTGTACAAATAGACGCGGACGCGTCTATTTGTGTCACGAATTATTTGTGTTGTTTCCGGCCGGCGCCCATCAATGGCGTCCTTCCGGTCTTATGTCTTGACTCTTATTATAGGGACTCTAATACTATGGAAGATGTCGTTAATGTCGGAACGTAACTCTCAAAAGTTCAAGAGGCACAGGGACACTATTCTGTAACTGTTTTATACGCCCACCGACAATTATCGGTGTTGTTGTGCAGCTTTTTCATCATATAAAATATCCGCACAACGACACCGACAACTGTCGGTAGGCGTGTAAAACAGTTACAGAATAGTGCTCTGCCGACAACCATGTAGGTAAAGCTAGTCTAATTGTTAGGCTCTCCCCAGAGTCGATCACGACGAAGAAAGATAAAAATGCCATTAAGATCTGAATGATATTGTTGGAGAAAAAGATATTTCCTGTCACGATTATGATGGTGAATCACTACTCTGCGGAAGTGGAATTTGCGAATGGAGATGCTAATCAGTGTCTGGATAAACTGTCGAAAGGGACTAATAGGTTGATTGTTATGGTGGATCAGCGTGTGATGTACTCTAGAGGAGTGATTTCGGATTGGCCTTCATCGATTTCTGAATTATGGCAGGCTATTGTAAATAAAGAAAATATTATTAAACTAGAACGTATGTATA